ACTACTACTACTGCTGTTGCTACTACTACTACTAGTAGTAGTAGTAGAAGTATTAATAGTACGCGCGGGTTCCGCGCGTCTACGTTTCGCGCGGTTTCCGCGCGTTATGCGCGTCTGCTTTTTGCGCGGGTTCCGCGCGTGTTGTTCTGCGCGGGTTCCGCGCGTGTATTCGCATGCTACATATGACGAATATTACTACTTGGGAACCTTTACATAATAACCTTGGGGACCTTGAGAACAATTACGTGGAAAACTTGGGAACCTTGGGGGAAGCTTTCAATACAAAATTGGGAACCTTGACGACCTTTACTTGGGAAACTTGGGAATCTTGAGGGAACCGTTACAATGCAACCTCGGAAAGTTTGAGGAAACCTTGACAATATAACCTTGGAACCCTTGAGAACCTTTACAATGTAACCTTGGGAACCTTGAGGGAACCTTTACAATGCAACCTTGGAAAGCTTGAGGAAACCTTGACAATATAACCTTGGAACCCTTGAGAACCTTTTACAATGTAACCTTGGGAACCTTGAGGGAACCTTTACAATACAACCTTGGGAACCTTGGAAAACTTGGGAACCTTCAGGAACCTTGAAGAAACCTTGAAGGAACCTTGAGGGTACCTTTTGGGAACCTTGAGGGAACCTTGACAATCTAACCTTGGGAATCTTATAGAAACCTTTACAATGTCACCTTGGCAACCTGGACCACGTTTACTTGGGAACCTTTACATCATAATCTTGGGAACCTTGACAACCTTTACTTGGAAAACTTGGGAACCTTGCAGGGAACCTTGAAGGAACCTTGAGGGAACCTTTTGGGAACCTTTTGGGAGCCTTGAGGGAACCTTGAGGAACCTTGGGAACCTTGAGGGAACCTTGAGGGAACCTTGAGGGAACCTTGAGGGAACCTTGGGAACCTTCGGAACCTTGCGAACCTTTACTTGGGAACCTTTACTTGGGAACCTTTTCTTGGGAACCTTTACTTGGGAACCTTTACTTGGGAACCTTTAATTGGGAACCTTTACTTGGGAACCTTTACTTGGGAACCTTTAATTGGGAACCTTTACTTGGGAACCTGGGAACCTTTACTTGGGAACCTGTACTGGGAACCTGTACTTGGAACCTGGGAACCTTGGGGGAATCGGTTTTGGAGCTGCTCCGGTCTGCTCCGAAACCTTTACTATGGCTGAAGACCCCAAAGCATTCTGCTGTTGGGGAAAAAATCATGTAAGGACGTATAATACATATACCGTCACATGCCCACATTCATACATCCTCATTGCGGCTATCCGAACCCACAACACATCTGTCAAGTTATCGTCCTTCGACTCAACCTGCCCGGCTTCCTGGGCATCCTGAGCTTATTAGCCGAAATGATGATCCCAAACCGGGGCTTTGGGCGGTTGTCACAGAGAACAGAATCTAGCCACATGCCGGCACCACCAATCAACCTGTGGATTGGTTTAAGCTGCAGGATCTTTTTTTTGCCACCAACAAATATACAGTTTACATATACAATCACATATATATATATATACATTACAGTAAATAGTAATAGGATTATATAGGGTGTTCCTGCAGTTTTTTCCTTAAACCAATACTGCAACCATCTGGGAACTTCACAGCCTTTAGGAGAGTGTAAGGACTGCCACACTCATATTTTCAGCAGCACACAGTCATGACTCCAGTGGGGTAGTGAAGGAACCTTGAGCCAGCATTCTTTGGTCAATCTTGAGATTCGAAACCATCATGACGGCGCGTAAAATTACACCCTCGTAAACTATTCCATTTTGAACATCTTTGAACCACATGAGTATCTCACAATGAGATACGCTGGTATACCAAAATTGTTGGCAAGTCTAATTGCGAAATCAGCGCAAATTACTGTAGTTTGTGGGACCCTATCTTCAGAATATCCACGACATGAAAAAATGGCCACCTGCCGTGCTTCAAACCCAGTCTTTTGGCCGTGAAATCGCACCTCCAACGGTGTTGGCACCTGAGCGTGCATCACATTGAGACCAAAGCAATGTACCAACATCAAGCAATGATTAAGTGACCACCAAAAGATGGAACCGTTTGGGTCTACCGCTATTTAGTAGGATTTGAACCTGTTCAAAGCTTGGGGGGTGCCATAATATCTATGTATCTATCTAGCTAGCTATCTATCTATTTATCTACCTAACTTTTATACTATATCATTAAATATATATAGCTATATATGGGGGTTGTCCAAAATACCTTTTCCCGGACAGCCCTCAATCGCTCAGCCAATCGCGTAGCAACCGCGGTACCACAGTGAGCAATCGCGGAAGGGCTTGTTCTTCGTTGATCAGATCATATACATAAAATATAAGTTATGTATTATATAATGAGGATCCATGCGTGAACGCATTCGATTTCAAATTTGGGAACAAAATAAGCTCGCGCGGTCCGGAAACGGTCCGGAAAACTCACAGTAGTACCAGCA